GATCTAACATGTTGGAATTGGCATGGCATTTTTGATTAAAATCTTACCTAAAGACTGTCTAATTTGATTCCATAGAAGTTTTCTGAGGATATGGCTTTCCTTAAAAATCACATCTCTATAATGAAATTGTAGTAAGAACTAGAAATAAGATTATGTTATATCAAATGCTACATTTCTTTTGCTTTGCTTTTTCTTTGCTCTTACTGTAAATAATTTACAGACTATGAGTACCTCAATATAAAATCTTATGGATGTAATCCAGATACAATTCTTTATGATTCATAAAAGAAAATCAGAAAAGTTTTGGATTAATTCTAAGAAGCTGGTAATTTGTAACTGCACACCACTAGAATGATGAAATTACAATCTGAAAATGAATTCATCTAAAAATTTATTTAGAGCTGCAAAAAGCAGTGATGTTGTAGGCAGTTAAAACACATGAGTCTATTTAAATTGATGCTTCTCATTCTATGTGGTAGGAGGATAAGCAGAAAAAAAAAGTTTAGCTGTGTAGAGTTCTAATCTCAGGCTAGAAATAGATGATGTAACTACTTGATCATGACAGCAATAAGGTCTTGTTTTGTTATATTCTTTGACTATTAATTCTAACATCATTGTAATTAGTATAATATGTACAGATGAATTGTTAAAACAGAACTGGCATGGACACATAAATACATAGATAGATACAAAAAGATATACGGTCTTTTAACAAATTGTTCCAGAAATAAGCCAATCCAAAATCTTACAGTTGACAGTTGTTTCAGGGAGCTTTCAGGGAGCAAAATATATACATTTAATCAAAACTGAGCTCATTTATTAAATATTTGAGAATTTGTTCTATGATGTTTTCTGTAGATGTTTGGCTTTGAGGTCGGTTTCCCGATGGCTTTTGCACAGAGACAATACACGAGGGTCCTTTTTTCTTCATTATGGCTCGGTAGTGAGTCAGAAGACTCTTGTAGCAACTCTTATGTCAAGTTCATTTTAAATGAAACTTCTGCTGTGCTAGCCAGTGCTTGGTATCCACAGAGGCACTTTAAACACTCCGTAATGTTCAGTGAGAGCTGCAATATATTCCACTCTCTGCTTTAACGAAGAACATCGGAATAACGGAGAATCTTTGCGTGACTGAAGCACTTGTCACAGTTCTTATCTTGAGGACTTGGTTGGATATTTCTAAACTTCTCTGTAGTTGCAAGAACTGTGAGCAACTAAAGGCACCTAAGCCAAATTACCTGCATGTGGGTGACTTAGCTGTAAGCCATTAAACTCTGCTGAAGTTGGCGGACTACTGGCCTGCTGTAGCAGAAGGAGCAGGGAGCATTGCTTATTAGTTAATTATTAAATATGTATCTTCTCCCTCCTCAAGCAGTCGGAGGTTTTTAGCAGGTTTATAGAGATTTCCAGCTGCAGGCTCTTGCTCCCAGGGAATTTGCATTAAGCTACGGAAACTGCTACTACACACTGAATAACGTATCAATGACCCTTGGTGTAATGAGTTCCTTGCCTATCCTAAGCCATCAAAGATAAAGAAATTAGAAGACCTCCTCGCGCTGCTGTGCCCCAGGGAGGCGAGCACGTGAATTCTTGTTCAGATTTAAGTCATGTTGGACTAGCAAGGCTTGTCTGCCAGAATCCATTTAATATATGTATTATGGTAAAAGCTTGACAGAAGATTTATAGGTGCTGGAGTCTACAAGGCATCTAAATTGTAAGCATGGGCAATGAGCAATGTTTTAGTACATGCTTTTAAAAATGTTATTGGCTAGGTTGAAAAAAAAGACTATGAGTACCTGAAGATACAGAGGAATTTATACAGAATGGCTGTCTCTATAAGAGACAGAGAGGATAAACCAGTTAAAAATGCTATTTTTTGATATCCTTCATGCCTCGGGAATTAATTGTTCCACTTCACAGATAGAAAATCCGTACAGAAAAATCCCACTACATATCAGAGGGGGCATTCCTAGCAGTTAAGATTTTTCCCTATTTGCTTTCTACTCAATTCAGATCTTGGAATTAGCGTAAAGAGGATTGGGATTGGCTTTCCTAGCTGATTTGCCTGTAACATCAATTTATGCACCATGGGACCGGATTTTCTATGCGTCAGATATCTGCTGAAACCCGAGCAACTGTTGCCAAGGCCTCAGTCATTAAATGCAGTGGCTACATATCCCTGTTGCTTGTGAAGAAATGGCAGGGGGATGGATGCCCAAGAGACCTTATTCAGCTTGATGCAAGATGTTTGGATACTTAAAAAAATTGCATGCAAGGACCTTCCCGCCCATGACTCTTTCTCCTCTGTTCTTTAAAGAGTTGGCACTCTTGCAAGGATGTACAGAAGGCCACCTGCTTAGCTCCTCCAGACAAATCGAAGTTTTATTTATATATTTTATTTATAGATTTTAAAAAGACATGCTACCGTCTTTCGAATGCGTATTTTGCCCCTACAGTTGGAAGGAGGTACAGTTCAGGATATCTACTTGAAGAACTTGATCCCAACACATTGACAAAGGTCTTCAGAGACAAGACAGCCTGCGACAAAATATGTTTGATTTGGATAGACATGGAGCACCCCACAATCTTCCTCAGCCTTTTTACAGGACCCTTTGCCGTTATTTCGACTCTCTGTCTGTTGATGAGGTGCAAAACATTTTCTTAAACTGCAGTATTCAAATAGAAGGCAAAAACAGTTATGAAGTATTTTCCAAAGTTGGGTAAGAAGCAAGCAATAACAAAAGGATTTCATTTCCACTTTAAAGCTCTGGCACAACTTAGATAGGTGGTAATACCACTACAAGAAAGAAATATTCTCCTTTAATATTATGTATATCTGTCTATATACATATATCTATATGCAACATTACGTACACTGTAGCTAGATAACATTAAAAAATAATGTCTTTTTCTCTAGAAAAAAACCTCTGTAAAAACCCTTTTGAATCAGAATGTGAATCAATAGCACACTCTCAGCATGAACGCAAAGGTGGAATTCACCCTGCTGTGCACAGAGTAGGAGACAGGAAATTTACATCTGCAATTTATGGGCACCCAGCCAGCCGCAAGAACCGCTACTTCTTTCATCTCCAGGCCCATCCACCCAGCCGGTGAGGGAAGGTTGGACACAGACCCCAGACGAGTGCATATCTAGTGCTACTGCGTCAGCACCGCAGCGCTGCTCTTTCAGCCGGTAGCTGTGTAGGTAGCCGGGCTCATAAAAGCGTTTCTGCTAAGTCTGTCTGCTCGAGGTCTAGCTCCGCGCAGCCGTACGGTCCAAATATTCCCCTGGCAGCAAAACGCTCCTTCGTTTTTTTTTTTTCTTTTCTTTTCTCCTAAGAAAATGAGTAACAAATTAAGGTCACAGGGCTGCATTAATCATGTTTTTAATTATTTCCCTTGAGTATGGTTTCTGTAATGTGTGCGTAGTCTATGTAGAGAGAGCAACTGATAAAGGAACTTAATTACACGAAAAAGATTCAACTGTGTGATTTAGTTTCTGGCTTGGCCAGATATTTTCCTTGTTCAGCCATGTATTTGGTAGGTATTAGCTTTCTTTCTTGTCTCTGCCTCTTCCTTGATCTTTCCTTTCACATTCTCTTTCTTTTCTTCATTCTCTTTTCCACTGCTTCTTCTTCGTTTGCCCACTCCTTTCACTTAGCTCTTTTTTAATTATTTTTTTGAACTCTTCTTCTGTTGCCGTGTTTGATAAGACACTTGAAATTAAGCTGTCAGACTCCTATGGCATGACTGCAAGCCGCAGTTCTGTCATAGCTCATCGTGGCTTTGGCTGCTTTAAACGCTTGTGTCCTTTGATGAAGTTCGATCGTTAAAAACAAAGCTCAAAGTACTCCACATTGCTAAGCCTGACTTTTAGGAACCTAACTTGGTTAGAACTAGCGGATAGCAGATTCTCACCATTATAGAAGTGTTTGTTTTGTAGTAAGTATCTTGATAGCATTTTGAAGTGCAAGAAAGCCAGGTGTTTCATTTTGGCGAGTGTTGAACCCATAGTTGTGTGTCAGGAGCTGGCTGCACAGGGTGGCAGAAGAACTAGTGATGATTCCTCAGTAGATGCCATTCCTATTCCTAACCCATGGCTGGGGAACTCTTTCATTTATTTAGCTGTGGGAGAATTTTTTTAGCCATATTTTGACTAGGGTTACTATTAAAATCATATCCTTTTTATCTATAGCTTGTTGGAATTTTTTATTTATTTATTTATTAAACAGGAAGTGTTATATAGGTTTCCTTCCACTGAAAAACAACTTTACTGCCAAAAATACGCGAAAACATTAGCTAGAAACTCAACCAAAGTATAGATGGTATATATTTTTACATGAATACATCCTTATCCTCTGAATCATTTTGATATGCCTAATTAAAAAACACTTAGCAAATATGCTCATGTGTTCCAGCCCCGATCCAAAAGTAGGCTCAGAACGCCCGCAATGCTTCCTCACAGATCATCCGACCTTCACAAACCACCGGAACGCGCGTTGCGTCGGCTGATGGGGCTCGCCAAGCGTTTTGATCACAAACGAGGGGGCTAAAGGCCCCGTTACCGCCTCGGCACGCGACGAGTGAGCCGCAGCCTGGCCAGAGTCCCCGTGCTTGCGGTGCGGACCAGGCCACCTGCCCTCTTGAGCTCTAGCGCGAGCCAAGCATTTTGTGTTGGGAACTTTGGCCGGGAAGCGCACGGACTTGGTTAAGATGGGCCCGCCTGCCCCCTTGCATCCCGCCGGGCACGGGAAGGAGGAGGAGGAGCCTCCCATGCCCGTTCCCCGGCTGTCCCTTCCCCTCGAGGCGCCGCGGGCCGGGGACCCGCCGCGGGCGCCGGGGCGGGGCGGGGCGCGCAGCCGTTAACGGCCGCCGCGCGCCGCCTCTAACGGCCGGGAGCTGTCCGTTCAGCACCACCTCCTCGCCAGCGGTTGCCTCGCGCCTTTCTCGTTTGTTTAGTCTGGGCTTGCCCAGAGGGCCGCGGCCGCCCTTTCGGAAAGAGCCAAACGCCGCTCCGTTTTGGCGCACCGCGGCCACCACGGCACGGCACGGGCAAGGCTGGCTTTGGACGCGGCGAGGGGCCATAGAATGAAGCCGCCCCGCAGCCCTGCGGCTCTATAGCGCAGGTTAAGCCAGGTATAAAGCAGCGCAGGTTAAACCTGGTACGGACCAGGGCCGCCTCGCGGGGCGGAGGCGCCTTCCGCCCGCAGCCGGGCGCGCAGGGGGACCCGCCGCTCAGCGCCCCCCCCACCCACCCC